TCAGACTGTGTCGATGGTCAGTGAGAATGTTTTTATACAATGAAAAAGTTCTCTTGGCCTCGAACGTAGTCACAGTATAGTATTTCAACGAATGTACATTAGTAAACTCTACATCTTCGGAGATCTCCAACGAAACAGCTAATAACCTGGCGAAGGGCAGAAAAACCACTGTTCTTCTTCAAAAGAGCCGCCTGCTTCGTGCGAAGTTTGCCTTCATATAAAGCGGGAAGGTTTTGCATAGAATCTTCTAATGTTTGAAAAGTTTTTAGAGATTCTTTAAGTGACAACCCTCTCGCTTTGGAAAAGGGTGGCAAAGGAATATCTGGCAGACGCTCACGATGTATAGCAGTTCGTATTATGTCTTTGCAAGTAGTTTCTCGCCGGAACAAATGAGGGCGTTTACATTTTAAAAATGTAAACGAACTTGTTCGGCCAGAAGATGTAAAGCGTGATTCAGGCTATATAAAAAGTTCTCGTCATGCTTACAGACTGCAGTCTTCTGTAAGCACAACGTAACTTTATTTATACGACAACATTACACATTCCCGAATAACTCTCGCTATTGCTTCTGTATTCGTCCTCTCCAGAAATTTACATAAAAGATGCCAAATTTTAGCGTAGTCTTTTCTGTCAAGTTTTCGTACTACCATTAAAGCAACATATCGTCCGCACGCGTCTATAGTTTCATCTACAGCAAACCGTATAGCATTGTTACTAATTTCTTTGCTGATTTCTTCAAGCGCACAAATTCATTTTGATATCGATTTGACCTCGCAAAATACTTTTGAGCTATCCACTGTAAAGTCTCACCCGGCTAACTTCGCTTCCCTCACCCACTTCAGCAGAAGTTGAAGCACAGAACTTTTATGCTTATCCATTAAATTTAAATATAAAACCTGCTGGCTAGAGGCACCACAATATAGTGCAGCAAACTAGTTTTAAATTCGTTGTCATTGATTGTCTATATCATTTTTTCGAATATATAAAATAATAAGTTTAAAAATGATTTTTTTAAATAGAAAATGAAATACAGTAGATCCCCCTATAAAACCGTTTCCTATAGTTATGATTCCTATAAAAATTGTGGCATTATCCGTAAACAACGGTAAAAATAACTCCTATAATACGTAAAACGTCATCGGGCAGCCGAACTACTTACCCGCCGTCCGTAGCGCCACGCTACGGAGAGATTTCTATCGTCTGGACAGTATTATATAAATTATATATAAATTAGGTACTGTACATATAATTATATATTAATTATATATAAATTAGGTACTGTATATATAATTATATATTAACTTAATTTATTGTAACTTTATTATAATTAAATATATATTTTTCGCCGTCTAGCGTCACGCTACGGCGAGTTAGGCGACCTATCGTCTGTTTAGTACTGTAATTTTATACATTTCTTGTGAAAGAAACATTTCTTATTTAACGGCCATAAAAATTATTTATATTAATGATGTCTCCAAAGGTCAACGAAGTTTTCGCAGAAAAATAATATCAGAAATCGCGGCCGCAATTTGATGCGCTGTTCCGCGACGAAACCAAGCTTTAGCAACGAGCGTAGTCAAAGGGTACACACTCGGTAAGTAATCCTACAATTTTTTGTTTATAACGTAGTTTATACGGATTATTTTAAAAAAAATATACGTATTTTGGAAATGTTGAGTCGAATTAGTCTAGAATCGATTAATTTTATGAAAGAAAACCTTTCAAACAGCCGTAGTCCGTAAACTATGATTCCTACAAAATTGATTCATAAAGAACGGAACGTATCTACCGTCTTATAGGGGGATCTACTGTACAGCCTATTCCCTATAACACTGTAGATAATTCCGTTTTATATGAATTCCGTGTTGTACGAGTCACTTAGATTTTACAAATACGTGAGCCATTCACAGCCCGTCACACGTATTTATAAAATTTAAATGACTCGTACAACATGGAATTCATATAAAGCGGAATTATCTACAGTGTTATAAGGGGTCTACCGTATTCTACTTTTAAATCATATTTAACTGTAATAAATTTATACAGTATATATTGTATTATTTTATTATTTATGTTTTTACGTTTTATTTTATTTGTTAAACATTTTTTAAATTTAAATACCGTCTTAACGAGAAATAAAACGAAATAAAAATTTTTTTCCACGAAAAAAAATATCGTCTGTTTACAAAATAGCGAAACCGAGCATGCGCGAAGTGACAGTATCGTCTGGCAAAGTAAATACGAGTAAGTTCAAACTTTTATATTTATTTATTCGGAAAATAATAATAAATGTAGCCGTTGCGATAAACGGGCGCATCGTTCTTGCGCCAATATTGAAGAAAACGACACTTTAACCATTTTAATTTGCCCTTCTTGTATACTGTATAAAAATAATATTCCCGTCTTATCCCGCGGGTGGGGCAAGATGGCGCATTCACTTATAATTTTAAAATATTAAATTTTCTTGTTTTTAAAAACGTTTTTCAAAAATGAAACTTTGTATTATATATTACCAAATGTTGTGGATGCCGAGAATAAAAAAATTATTGTTCTGAGCGGTTGCCATCTTATGACTTTTCAAACCATCCCGTCCCACCTTCCCCTATGTATTTTAAAAAATCCAATAAATCGAGCATTTTTGTTAATATTTATAATTGTTGATAAAAAGAAATTAAAATTTTTAACAAAATTTTAATTTATAATACAATACCTATACGGAATTTAGTATTTTTTAAAACTTTTCCCGCCCCGTGGGCACTAAGAGGTTCAAGTATGCCTCGCTTAGTTTGAGTAACCGTAACAGTGACGAATCATCCGATAGGCAAAAAAGGGCCCCTTCTGGGAGTACCGCTAACGGGATGCCCAAACCAATCTTTTATAAGAAACTATTTCCCCGAAGAATAATGTCTGAAGTCAATACTGTACGCGGAGTCCTCTAATACAAATTTGCCCGGGACCCACGAAGCTATAACGCGCCACTGAACTGCGAATGTGAGATCGCCCAGTTGTGCTAAAAGTCGGAACAAAATAGAGGTGCCGTTTCGTATGTAGGTGTGATAGACACCGAGTCCGACTCAACAATTACGAAAATCTCCTCGATTTATTTAAATGAAGCTTGCGGCGATGTCATTCTTGGATCTGTAAGCGAAGACTGTAAATCTTCGGGTTCTTTTTTCTAAAGAGAGAATTCCGAGAGACGAATCCTTCAGAGTCCTTTTTGGAATTGACGTTGTTGTGAGAAAGTCTGTTGAGGAATTGATCGGTCGAGGATGAAGTGGAGAATTCAACCAAGGAAGATGCTGCACAATCAGAAATCAGAGAGAGAGGCTCTCTGTATCCTTGAAACTAGTTTTTATCAGTTTTGGTCCCAGATCAACCACTTCCACTTTCTAATTGATCTTCACTCGTTACTAAGTGTAACGAGATCCGAACTCAGATCGCGGGATGAATCAAAATCGACATTTCATTCGATTTCTAACCGGAGATAGTTGATCTTAGGACTTTCCTTTGTCTAATTTCTGAGAAAAGATTTTTTTCCTCTATTAAATTTAATATTTCTTTTTATGGGCATAAAAATTTATATTTTATAATATTAACAAATTTTGTAATTTTTAGATTTTAGTGTGGTTCCGGGACATTTCCGGAGCCTCACACAAGTAATTAGCCTACTTAATAATCGAGATTTCGATGTTAAGATTTTTGGTAAAATTTTAAACTACAAATTTGACAGTAGAGAAGTGAAAGTTGAATTCTTCGATCAAAATATGTTTTCCGTATTTTAAATATAAAACTGCTTTCAATTAGTTAAAAAGTTTGTGCCGACAATTAATAATTGAAAGAGATTAAACTGAATTATTTCGCTAAACTGTCGAATATTTTTGTTCCTAAGCGCATATTACAGTAAGATAATGATTTTCCATACGTTTGTCCTCGTATGAATCGATTCCATTATTAGTCGACAATAAACTTTATTTTAAATAATCGGCAACGAGTTGCTTAACTTTCCAGGTGACGTGTAAAACTGGGTATGGCGCCGTCTGTTATATTTTCTTTAAAAACTTTTTATATATTTAATTATTATAAAATGACAAAGCGTAAGTTTGAGGGTAGGAACTGGTTTTATAATAATAAAAACAAATGTAAACATTAATAACGGGTAAAATTGTCTTTAAGTCCAACCCTATTCGAGATACGACACACGATCCCCCTTTATCTCCCCATTTTGTCGACCTTTAACCACCAAAATTTAATAGCATCAATCTCCCTAATACAGAAACCTTGCAAAATTTCATAAACTTTCGACAAAAAGAACAAGTTATTAAGCTTCAAAGGTGAACAAAACCGTGCCCCACACACACAAACAAACTTTTATTACGAATAGCTTTTATTGAGATTAATTAAGAGACGAAGCTCGTGGAATGATGAGCTGAAACGAGGGGAAAGCAAAGAGCGGAAGTTGGCAGAAGAGGACCTTCCCGCGGGTGTCACCAACTTCTGTCAACTCCCGCTCTGTTCCTTATAAAAGTGTTTCCAGGATGCGCTTTGAGCGAAGAGAGATTAGGTTAAATCCATTATTATTCATAAATTCACCGATTCTGTACATACAAATACATATGTTAAATAAATGTGTATTATGTTAAGCCTTGTATCCATTTACTTCCTCAGACACTATCCTCGAACTATTTAGTGATATTCACGGGAATCTCACACTTATAAAGTTTTATCTACGAGTATTAATTTAATAAATTATAATACAGTCGCTTCTTTAAATTGGATACACCAAAATAAAAACTAACGATATAAATAAATATGTTTATTAAACGTTATTTCAGATTTTCATATGAAGTGGCATAAAATGGCCTTTATTTTGTAAACAAAAAAGCATTTGGAATTATTTATTCAATAATTTTTGTTAAAACGTTTTTAAAATAATACATTCCCGATTAAATATTAAATATATAAAAATTATTCTATGGTATTAATTATTTACATAATTATAATTAGGAAGATTCCTGATGAGTGGATGGTAATGAAGTAGTCAGTGAAATTTGCTCGTTAGATTTTGGTCTTCCAAAGTTAAAAAGTCGAGGCCTCTTTTTATATTTTTGACGAGTCGCTCTATTTCTTGTTCTTATTGGTCTGGACGTTGTTAGTGATTCTGTCGTAGTGACATCCTCTACTTTTTCATAGGTAAAAGGTTTCTGCGTTGTTATCGCTGGTGTGAAGGATTGTGATGTGTGGTTAGATGTAACTCTTGTCTTGAAATGAGATCTATCGCGATACGATGGTTGCCGTTCGTCATATTCCTGGGCTGTGGAATACGTGTTTTGTTTTTCTGGTCTATTCACGAATCTATTGTCCGAGTGTGTTTCTTGATTTGGTAGTTCTATTGGAAATATAGTCGTAATATCTCGGACCTTTAGCGAAGATAATCTGTCATATTTTTCGTTATAATTTATGTTTTCTGTTGCAAATTGCTTTAGTGTTGTATCGTAATTTGCGGTGGTAACGTATAGAGTTGTTTGATCGACACCGGTCAAAGGAGATTCGCTGTAAGCTTGTAATATTTGAGTCTGGTCTTCGGAAATTGTTGTATTTTGCACTCGAGGCCTCTTCGGACGTCTTCTTCTGCCATGTTTCCTCCTTCTCCTTTTGGGTTTTCTTTTTCTATAACGCCGCGTGGTAGTATCCGATAAAATTTCTGTTGTACTTTCGATCGGTTCTACGTACGTATACGGTGTTGTCAGAGGTGTCGAAATTGTTAACAATTCTGATGCTTTGTCTTTATGATGCGATCTCGGAGAATGGCTTTGTTCCGATGAGTATTGTTGATTTGCATTTTGGCGAGATTGCTCGAGAATATCAGAATCACTGTGGGAAGTGGGAGAGTAGTGTAAATTAGATTCTTTTCCTTGATCCTCGTTATTAAATGAAGCTATATTACTCGAATTTGATCGTTTTGTATTAGATCTACCTTTATACATAACGAAAGGAATTATGAACGTATTTCCCGGATGCGTTTTACTCTTTTGAGGAATTTCTGCAATGGAAACTTCTTGACTTTTAAAATTGTCGGGCACTTTGTTCTGCTTTGTACTACTTGTCGGTTTTATCCTATCACCAAATTTTTCTTTGTCAAATAAGTGACTTAAATTTTCTTCCGTTGTTGCATCAACGAAAGTCGAAAGAGGCGTAGTATAATATATTGTTCCAGTCGTTTCTTTTTCATCCTCGTATTTGGTGTAATGCGGTGGTTGTTTCGTTACTTCCTGAATTTTTTGTTGGTTTTTATTTAAATAACGAAGTTCTCTCGGTAGATTTTCTCTTTGTTTTGTATTTTCTAAATTTCGATCGTTTTCTTTATGATTTTCGTTGTTTGTCTTTGAGTAATCTTCCGAAGGGTCAGCATGATCTATTTCTTTTGAATTTTGATAACGACCATTTCCTCTTTTATCACCGTCAGAATTTAACTGATACGTGTCAGGAGAATGTACGTTAATTAACTTCTCAGAGTTTTGATATTTTGGAGTAACGGGATCGGTGTGATAGGTAATTCCGGATTTTTTATCTTTAGGATATATTTCAGATCCATATTCGGAGTTTAACCTTCCAAAATTCAACAGTTTTGGAATTTGACTTTTTGTTCTTTCTTCTTCGTTATACGAATGTTTAACCTTTGGATTCTTATAGTTTGGATGTTTGGGGGGCTGAATGCTCGTTTCTGGATATTTTCTGTAATCTCTATCTTCTACATATTCCGATTTAGGTTTGTTCTGACTCGATTTACTCGTTTCTTCAAATTTTGGTTTAGTTGCAATTTCGTGATTTTGAACTATCGGTGCTTCTGGTATACTTCTAGAATCTTGAAATCTTGAATGTTCCAAAGATTTTGGATCTTCTGATTCAAAATTTTCTAGATATCTTACTTCTGGTTCACGAACTACGGGCCTCGGTTTTCTATTTCTTGATTCGTCGTATATTGGTCTTTCTTGTTTATTTCTTGAAGTGTCGTGATTGTATCGTGATTTTTCTCGATTTTCTCTTTGATTTTCATCTCTTAAATTTTCACGGTTGCTTCTTGAATCGTGATACGATGAACCGTCTTCATTTCTAGGATATTCGTATCTTGGTTTTTTATTATTAATATCTTCATCAGAATATACTGGTACTTCTTTATTATTTTCTGAATTATATCTAGTTCTTTCTTCATTATTTCGTATTTCGTCTCTTGGTGGTTTTTCTTGTATATTTCTTGAATCGTCGTATTCTGGTCTTTCGTGATATTTAGGTTTTTCCGAAATTCTCACATTATCAGTTTTTGGTCTGTGTAAATTTATAATTACTGGATATTCAACCTCTGGTCTCTCTGGCTTTATATTTCTATTATCTTCTAAAATTCTTGTATCTTCTTTTATCGGTCTTTCGTGATAATCAGATCTAATTTCTTCAGTGTTAAAATTAGGCTTTCCTCCTTCAGTTTCTGGCTTGTTTGGGATTATTACTTTTGAATCCTCAATGTGAGGATTTTCTGAGTATCGATTCGAATTTTGATATCCTGGACGTACCGAAATTTTTGAATCGTCTACTTTTGGTCTTTCTGAATCGTGGTATGTTGAATCATCTGAAATCTTTACTCCATCGGTATTAGGTATTTCTGGATTTACTACTACTGGATATTGAATTACAGGCTTTTCATATTCTTGGTTTCTAGAATCTTCGTACTTTGGAGCATTTAAAATTCTCGAATCTTCAACTATTGGTGTTAAATATGGAGAACGATGTCTCGGATCTCTAGAATCATCTGAAATTCTTACATCTTCGGCTCTTGACTTTTCGGGAAATATGACTTTCGTGTATTCGGTTTCAGGTTTTTTGAATCCTTGATTTGAATCATAATATATAAGTTTTCCCGAATTTCTTGGTCCTTCTAGTCTCGGTCCTTTTGGATATGATTCTCTCGAATCATAATTTCCAGAATCTTCTGAAATTTTTGTATTTTCACTCGTCGGTTCTTCCGCTTTTACATTTCTTGGAAACTCATTGTATCGTATTGGTTGTTTCGTTGTATGATCCTTATAATTTTCGTAATTTGCTGCAGAATCCTGATTATTTAAGTTATCGGGATTTTTGCTGTTAGAGTAAGTCGCATCGTCCGACTCTTCATTTTTGTTGTATGTTCTTTCATTATGATACTTTTCAGAATTAGCATTATCAGGATCGTTGCTTTTGTAATTCTGGTTATAGTCTGGAGATATGTTTTTAGCATCGCTATCGTAAAAACTTGTTTCTGGATTACCAGTTTTATATTTTTCAGAATTATTTTCATTGTGTCTACTGTGTTCAGCAGAATCTCGATAATCTTTATGATTTTCGTTCGGTTTTCTAAAATTTTCACTCGGTCTCCAATATTTTGTATTTTCGTTTTGATAGTCAATTGAGTGTTGATTTCTCGATCCATCGGGACTACTATATACATTAGGTCTTTGCGGAATATCCGGTCTCTGTGGTCTTTCCCCGTTTAAATTATGATTATTTACAGAAATAACTTTCGAGTATGGATAAGAATCTGATTCCGGATATCGGGGAGTATTTTGTGAGTAAACGTATCTATTAGGTTGAGGATATCTCGGAGAATATCTTTCGCGATGGAAATAATCGTAATCATCGTCGTCTTCGTCATCTTCGTCTTCTCCATAATAATTATTCGGATGATTGAGATATCGCTGACGATAATCGTTGTATCCGTAACTTCTTTCGGTGGGTGCCGCTTCTCGGTAAATCGGTGGGTCGCTATAATCGCCAGGATGATAAGATTTTGATCCCGCTTTGCGAGGATGATGAGTTGGATTGTTTCTCGCGTTTTCTTCGTAATTAGAATTTCTGTGCCGAGGCTCGTTAATTCTGTGATTGTTAGTTGGATGTATAACGCGTTGTTCTTTAGGTTCTGGTTTATGAGTCGAAATATTTTCAACGTTCGATTTAACTGTTGATGCTTTTACGTTTTGCTCTTTCGTAGCTAATTGTTTGTTGGAATCTTTTAGATATTGAATTCGCGTATCTTTCTGCGAAGGTGATTTAGCTTGTATTATAGGAATTTCTGAATCTGGATTCATAGGCACTCTATAAGCTTCCGGTAAATAAATGGAACCATCGTTTCCAAAGGCATCTTCTTCGTTGACAGAAGCCGAACCTGTTGGTAAATAATATCTCACAACAAAAGTGTTTATCGACGAAGGTGGTAAGTACAGAGTTTGTATTTGCCTTCTTGAGCGATGTAAGGGTTTTTCTAAAATTTTTCTTAAATTTAATAACTTATTATTTATGTGATAATACTTTTTTGAGTTTTTGCATAATTTTCGATCGCCGTCTACACACCGAATTAGTTTCTGATTAAACCATAGATTATGCGCACAGGTTAATTTTAATTTTCGATTTAGTTGGCAAAGATAAAACGAGCTGCAATTACTAGAAATATCTGCAAAGAAACCTTGTTTCCCTCTGCAGTTAAACTTATCTGGTGTCGATATCTACGAAAAATAAAATAACGATTAAAAATGTTTAGAAAATTCCTATAGAATATTAAAATAAATTTATACACGNGGGGGAGGGAAAGCTAAGGTTCGATCGGTAAGGTTGTATCGTCGTTCTAATAAAATATTGTATAATTAAATTTTAAAATATTTAATGTTGCTTAGCATTTTAGCCATTTAAGTCTGCTCTTTTTGAAAGAGTAGACTTATAACCGAATCTTCATTTTTATAAAAATATCAAAGGAGATGTTTAAAAGAGAATTAAAATTTTATAATAAGAGCTCTCTTTATCTCTTTATCATATGTTTTAAAAGATAAAGTTAAAATTTGAATATACTACAATTAAATTTTAGAAAATTTTAGGTTATAAAACAGTTGAAAAGATCTGATGTGTGACTTTAACAACCCGTTTTAATAAAGATAGATTAACTAGATTTATAAGTATGCTCCATATTTCTTATAGCTATTGTTATACAAACGTTATCATTAACATTCTATCGAGGACATAAAAGAAGAGTTGGTATACAATGTAACAGAATTCTTTATGTTAGATCAATTTTTGTAGTGTTTATAATGTTTAGTTTATTATCTATTATTATCTATAATTAAGACATAAAGAAATAGATTTATATTAAAAAGGGAAAACTGAACTAGAAGATAATAAGAAAACTATTCTAAATCATTATCAATGCGATTAATTTTTATTAGTCGCATTGTTCAAGATCATTAACAATAAAAATTGACCATCTTCTTATGATTTTATCAGCCGTAATTTATAGATAATTCAAAATTGACAATAAATTTGATTAAAAATTCTTCTTTAGGACCATGTTTATTTAAAACTTTTCTGACGTTATTAACCCGTAACCAATAAATTAAAACAGTAACCCAAATTTTGTCATTTTAGTAGTGGTTTTCGAACAGCGGGTCGCTACCCCCAAGAGACTAGTGTAAAAGTTTTAGTGACTCGTGACCTATCAATTTTTGTACTATATAAAAATTGATAGGTCATGTAAAACTGATTGACAATTCTAGTTTATTATTTCATTACGTAATAAAAAACAATTTAATAATTAATACTGGGATGTATCAGGGATGCTCAACTGGCGAAAAATTCCTGCAGTTATAACTCGAAATTATTTATTATTAATTGAAAATATAATATTTGTAATTTAAATTATGTTAATCTACTTAATAAAAATGGTATTCATTTATTCACGTTTTATAATGAAACGGAATAATTCAAATTAAAATATATTTGATAAATTATTATCCCAATAAGTAACTTAGTCGGTAGCAAAAGCTGTAAATATGGGTCAAAATGTTAAATATTCTACATCTTAGATCGGTTTTTGAATGAATACGGTTTTTAATAGGCTTTTATCACTTTTTTTTTTAATCATCTTTTACCTAAATAAATTCTTCTTAAAGAATAAGGCTTTTGTTCAGTGCGTATTATCCTACGGGCAAAAGGGGCAATTGTCCGAGGTCCCACCAACAGGGGACCCCAAACCGATCTTTTATAAGAAAATATTACCCCAAAAAACTTTTCCCGGAGAAAAACGTCAACAATTAATACTGTAAGTGGGATTCCCTAATTTAAATTTGCCTGGGTGCCCGTAAAACTATAACGAGCCACTGTTTCGATTTTACCTATTCTTCTCGGATCTGATCGGAAATGATTCGATCAAAACGAGTGAGAGATCGATCCGAAGTTTCTAGAAAAATACTAAAAAATATGAAGACGTGGATTTCTTACGATGTTGCCCATCTTACAATAATGTCATACAGTCAATATACTATATATTTTAAAACATGTCAGGATATTACTTTATTAGAGGTTAACTTATGAGTTTTTTGTAAAGTTTTTATATCAGTTTTCAACAAAATATCAAAGTAAAATGATTTAATTTAAGTTTATTAAGTAATTGTTAGATTCAATGCGTATATCGAAACCAGTATTGTTAATTACTGTGTACTAATTAGACCTGCACGTGTCATCAAACTTCAAATTATCCATTTATTACAGCAATTGAAGTTTGTTATTTTGGAGAATAAAATTCCTATTAAATTGTTACTGACCATAAATGAAGTACTTTGTTACTTTTTCCCTATGATCATTACACATCGTAAAACTTTATTGCGTTTTGTTTGAGTTATCCACGTAATATTAAAAACCGCGATTTGATCCATTCTTTTGTTTGATGTATAAATACAATTTTTAAATTTAAATCTGGAACATCGCGATTCGCCGATATCTCGTATATCTAGAGGATAAAATTCAATTGAGGAATAAAGTTTTAATTTATCGTGTAAGCTATATATATATATATATATATATCAAATCTGACATATCTAAAAGTATTAAAAGTTCTTAGAGATGACATTTAAACGTCTATCTTCGGTGTATTTCCTCGTAGGAGGCCATGCTTACCGTAGCAATACTTAATGCTTATATTAGAAACAATGCGTTATTTGTTCGTAGGAAACAATATATTGTTAATACAATTAAAAATTAATGCTATAATTAGATGGAATTATATTAAGAAAAAGAAAAGAAAAAAAAATTGAAATTAGGATGATCACTAAGAAAATATTATTGTTGTGTCTGTACCACACCCCGATTTACTTGAATTTCTATAAATGGAACACCAATTATCCTGTTTGTGCAATCTTCAATTGCCACGCATCAACACCTTTATGCTGCAGCCGTACAAAAGATGTCGACCGTGTCGATTTGGCCACTGATGAAAAATGGTCCTCGACCGGCCGGAAAATAGATCAACGAGTGCAAGAAGACACCCAAAATTTCTATAACCTATTAAAATTTATTTTATACTTAAAAATCCTTTACACCTTGTCGTAAAATAAATAAATATTTTAACGATTCACATAAATTTACTTTATAACATACGAAGTTTTATTGCGAGGATTTCAGAAAGAAACGTGGAATGACGTTTATTATTCTTTAAAATATAAACATACTTTAGAAATTTTATAGTTATTTTTGAGTAAAAGATTTATGGAATGATTAAAAGATGTCCCCCCTCCCTAAATATAGCTTAATTCTTTATTTCAAACATGAAAACTTATTATTTATAGAAGTATCAGATGTATTTAATGTATAGAAATTACTGTAATTTATTTGTTTTAAATCTGGATGACATATTAGGGGCCATCCATTATGTGTATAACTTAAGGGTCGTCATTATACACGATGAGGAGGGAAAGGGTCGAGGTATTGTCTACGTGAACTTTTTAGTGATATTAGTGGCATACGGATATTGTTCTTATAAGCTTGCTTAGTAGTGACGTAAATAAACTATTTGCAGAACTTTTTAAAATCATTTTTTCAATGTCAGAGGGTCTACGAACCTAATCAAAGGGGGATTTTTCAAAAGTACATCGTCGTACACAACAAGGAGAGGGTTGAAAAGTGACTAAAAAACTGAACAAATGGACGGTTTCTCAGATTCGTTTGTCAAGTTTTCATCGAGTAGGGAAAGGTGGTGCAAGATGGGGTCATGGGGTAAGACGGGGACGTCTGTTTATTTGTGGTTAATGTGCTTTTATCTAGTTGTTATTTGGAAAACTAAATGTCTACCTCAAAAGGGATCGTGGAGCGAGAGAACGTCCAAATCGTTCTCTTTGTTTGGAAGTAAGACACGTTTTTTGTTTCAGCAATACTTCATTTAATTTTGCGCCCGCTAAAAAGTTTCTACAAAGTAAGTATCATTGTGAACTTTTACATCGCCTTTTAGTTGATATTATAGTATACGAAGTAACCTTTAAGACTGTAATTGTTTAGTTTTGAAATGAAGTTTACCTGTGTTTGCAGTCAGTATGAAAAGTGTACGTTGGGAGCAAGATGGGGTACCCGTCTAACCCCAGGTTGACCACGAATATGGCCTATAAATCCAGAAGTATTTTTGGAGGCAAACTTTATTGATGCAGGGACGACAAACAGGCCCCTTCAGCAAGGGTAGGCCTAACAAGAAACAAAAGACAAATGACACAGAATGTCTCTATTGTGAAGGGTTATACTTTGTATCTACAGAGTTGGGCTAAATGTAGCCGTTGTGATAAATGGGCACTGTTCTTGCGCCAATATTGAAGAAAACGACAGTTTAACCATTTTAATTTGTCCTTCTTGTATATAAAAATAATACCCCCGTCTTACCCTATGGGTGGGGCAAGATGGTGCATTCACGTATAATTTTAAAATATTAAATTTTCTTGTTTTTAGAAACGTTTTTCAAAAATGAAATTTTGTATTATATATTACCAAATGTCGTAGTTGCCGAGAATAAAAAAATTATAGTTCTCATTAAAGTGGTTTCCATCTTATGACGTTACAAACCTTAACGTTCTCATCTTGCCCCACCTTCCCCTATAAAGCCGGTAATATATAAATTAATTAATGACACGGAATCGTATAAGTATAAAAAGTTAATATCACGTCTGTCTCTTTCCCAGAAAAAGAAAGCGATTCTAATCTCAAAATAGGAAATATCATTTAACAATAATTACAGTATAATTTGTTTAATTCTAAAATCTCAACAAATAAAGTTATTTAAATAAGATATTCACCGGTTAACTTCCTCGTTCCTCTTTTATTATAGTGATATTATCATCGTTTATGATGCGAAATGTTTCCATTGTTATATTTTAATAGGTTAAAGAAAGAAAAAAGAATATTTTGATATATTTCTTTTGTTTTTTTTCACGAAATTTATATTTTTTTTCGCTTCAACTAAGCTGTATTTCAGTGTTAATATTTTAGAGAATTTTTATTCAGTTTTGTCCCGTTTATCGAAGGTCTAATCCGTATTTGAACGAAATGATGATTTTTAATTTACAAAAGATTAAAACAAATCTTACAATAAAATATTCAATATAATTTAATGCAATTTAAAAAGATTATAATTAACAATGTACAATAACTTATATATAAGAATTATTTAAAATAAATACTTTATTAAAAAAACAAGTCGACGAATTTGTTTAGTATAATTCTGTTAAGAATTGACCTATTTCTGTATTCAATTTCATAATATCAAAAAGTGAGAAAAAATAACTCCGTTTCGCATAATTAGATAAAGAGAATTAAACGTGTAAGGCATTTTATTATAATGGATCGAGGAAAAAAAATGTGCATCACGAATTCTTTCAACTTTTCTCTATTAATCTACATACAAAATATTTCTGAGTATAAACACTTTATTTAAGGAAAAGAAGGAAAATGTTTGTACAAATTATATATTATAGGAGTAATCAGAAGCATCTGGCAGAATACATTTCCTCTCGGAAAGGAAAATAAGCGTGTCTGTTCGACCATCTGTATACTTTAACTCTCTATCCTGATTTTAACGATTTCTTAGAAATGGAATCAAATATCTGTCGATTCAGCGAGATGTGAAAATTGTGTTTCTGAAAATAAAACACTTTTTATACAATTTCACATCTAAACGTGGGCGTCGATCCGTGTGATACGGAGAATACTTTTATACAGGAAAATTGTCCTCTTCCCAACATAAAATTACTTTATATCATACTACAAATATTAAAAGTAGAGACGAGTACCGTACGCAACAAATACACTTTATTTTGTATATCCTCTCCTAACCGGATAATAAGAAATTTATATCTTATTGTGGTCGTTATCCCCCAATATTTATACGTATCGACTTCGATGCATCTAAATAATTGAAAATTTGTGCCCATTTTATTTAGAAATTATTAAAAATCTATTTTGATCTTATCATTCAATTTTAACAATAACTTTTACTGTACAAAAAGTGAATTATTTTTCCAAAATTAATATTATTAATATTATACATAATCGACTTGTTATTAACCATTAGTTGACGGCGGTAACGAAATTACCGAGTTTTCACTTTTCCAATATTAGAATTCATATTTCTAGTAACGAGCATAAGGAAAATTGTTATAGCGGTTAAAACTTCTAAAATGAGAAAAATGGCACCCCAACTGTAAGACTTGGCTACTAAACTGAACGGTAAACCGGAAACAATCGCACCAACTGTCAAGCAAAAAAAATATCAAGTTATTAATTATAAAATCGATTCATTTAAAACAAGAATACTTACTATTTGCGGCTAAAGCTACGATAGCGTGAGCCGTGCCACTTAAATGACTGGGAGCAGATTCGGTTGCAACCACGCCGTAAATAGCGATAGGACCGTAATAGCAAGCACCTAGCATCATCCCTATTGATGTTATCCATAACTACAAAAAGAAATTATTATAATATTTCTATTTACTCTACAAAATAAAGTCAACGTTATTAATATATATTGTGTTGTATTATACAATTCATCAATACTCGAAGGGTGTCTTCCCATAACATTGTTGTTTAATACTTTATGGTCTAGAAACTAACTAGTTTATTTTGATGAATAGTACAGACTACCAGGCAAAACTTCTATACCAGAATTCACATTTTAATAAAAAATAAAAATTTTATATCCGTTCTATGTAATAATTCTGTTAATTTATTAATTAATGATATTGTTTATTATTCTATTTTACAGATTTATCGTTGTTAATTTTTTTAAAGTATGCTACACATTTCAAGTTTAATACGTAAGGGTACGCAGTCATCCGGCTAACATTTAGAGTGGGAATTACTGCGTATATCTTATATTATACATCTTATTTGATTAAAATGAGTACATAATTGATACTCGGTGATCTTTAGCACCTTTCTCTCTTTATTTTATATTATTTTAAACCTTTTTTGAAGAGGGAAGATAGTAAGCCCGAAATGCTTATGTCTAATTAAACAATGTTTGTTGATTGGGTATGTCTTCGCAGTTAAGTTAACCACAAATTTAGTTTTAAAGTTAATTAAAATTCTAAATATATTTTCTAGGCTTACCTTAGACGAATTTTCGTTAACGAAGTATTTTAATAGATGAAGGCATCCTAAGGCACCCGCAGTAAAAATAATTCCCACTTTCATACGAGGATTTCCTTTTGCTTTATGATTTTTCTAAAAAAAATGTTCAACAAATATTTATTCTTATTGTTAAAATAAAAATAAATACAACGCAATTCTTATTAACTTTTTTAACCTATACGAGTATTTTATGAATTTTAAAAATTAGATTAATTCGAAGCGAATATTTAATAACGAAAAACTAGAATGTAAAAATAAGTTAAACGTATTAAATGATAGACTTAAAAAGAAATAATTTACCTTTAATTCCTTTTTCAACACCCAATCTGTTAAATAACCTGCTAAAACACCACCGAAAAATCCTCCCGTTTCCACGCTACTAACAAAAGAACTACCTGTAAAAAGATAAATTTCAATGTTTTATACCGTATACATAATTATATAAAAGATATTAACTATTGTTATATATATATTAGACTATGTAATTTTATCTTAAGATATTAATTTAAAATATACTGCGAAAAACTAACCTAACTATGCCGACAATACGTCGTACTTATTACTTAAATTTATTTTTATTTATGGTATTACCGACAAATTGAGTCTGTCCACAATCGTCCATTAAATAAAGTTGGCTCCAATCGACGGTGCTAGTTTTGGCACAAAATACGGTCATGTAACAGAAAGAAACCAGCCACAAGAACGGACTTCTCAATACGTCGGCCACTTTAGCTTCCTTATCCCCCGAAGTAGCTTGAAAATAAATGTACGAGTAATTAAATATTAATATATAAGCCGGATATATTAAAGAATTTATATTTTTTTTATGGTACAAATCGTCCGAAATCTCACCGGAGTTTTTCTTTTCTTTTTCGTCGTCGACAAAGCTTTGTAATCCGATGTCGGTCGGAGAATTAACAATGCAAAACATAGATATAACGCCCAATATTACGGAGACGATTCCTAAAATTAAATAAATAAATAAATAAATACACTCTCCAACCTCGATAAATTCGTTCGGATTAAAATTTGTCGTCCAGACTTTGTTAACAATTTACAATTGCTTCAAGCATTAGATCCATTCAAAGTAAGATAAGGAATTCCGCAAATCATCATCCCTCTGGCAAACAGATTCCAAAACTCCTAACTGAAGATGATTTTGCAGAATTAAATAAAGAATGGAAAGAGATTCGAGTCTGTAAATGAGATTGAAACTATAAAAAATACTTCAGAATCAGAAATATTTTGGCACGAAATATCTAAAGAAAATATGGCTATATGGAAGCGTCTAAATCTGATTGATTAACGTGGCGTAATCAGGTTCCTAGTCGGCGAAGATTGTAACCCTACTGCAATTCATCGGCGAATGCAACAGACGTTTCGACCTCACAAGTCTTGCTCGAGTTAAGGTGTGGGCAAAAGAATTTTGGGAAGGATTAACAAGCGTGAAGGAAAAGCAACGATCAACGTGCAGCCACACTACTGAGTGTGTATATGGAGAAAGACTTCGTGCTCGCGAGAAGATGCTCTGAGGTTCGGTACTGTGCATAAACATTTGCATTTCAGGAAAGTGTGTGCACATTCTCTCAACGAAGAACAGACCAAACAGTCGGAGTGACAAAAGGACCTCTAAAGCAGTTTGGATAGGTGCTCGAGCACCCCTCACAGTTCTGGTCTGTCGCTTTGCGACTTTCGTGTTTTTGGAGAACTGAAAAAGCAGTTAAAGGCAGGCTTTTCCTCGAAGTGCAAACTGCGGTCCGTGGCTGGCTCCACCAGTGTCTAACTTCATTCGGCGCAAGTAGGCTTGTGTCACAATGGGATGTGTCTGAACAACCGGGACAATTTCCGTAAAAAATGTTTATATTCCATGCTGTTGCTTTCGGCTAATTATTTACAGATCCACCTTCTATACGAATACTTAACAGTAGATAAAGATACAAGGTATAAAAATTTTATATATAGTATCTGTAATTTCACAGTTCAATTAGCAATTTCGAGCGAACCTAAATTCGTTAGTGTCTATTCATCGTCCCGTTTTAAATTAAATGTTTTTATTTCATTTTCTTATCAAAATAGTTATCGCATTAATAATCGTTACTCTCGTATTTACGGTGTTTTATGCCACTTTAACTTGTAAGTTTTGAGTAATGATAACATTATCCGCGATCGCAATAAGCGGAGTTTATTAATTAGCTTAATTACTAAAAATATACCTATTTTATTTATTGTAATTAAAGTTATTCCATGACGCATAGCTTATGTAAGTGAATTAATTAATTAATATAAAAAACATCTTTATTTTCACCCGTTAAAGATATTTTGTTTTGACTTTTTGACTAAGATCTCCTCTATTTGCTTATCGGAAACTATACCAGTATAATCCTATTAATAAACAAGGTCCAAGTAGACAAGGATACAGACAGAAATTGATAACAGTAAGGACATAGAGGTAAAAAGAATTAATTGAGATAACCTATTTTTAAGTCACACTTTACGAAAAATACACACGCCAAATTGCTGAAAATTATTTCTATTTTTATTCATTTGGGGGATATAAAAATTCTTAGCACGGCGCTAGCTATGGTATTTATCGTCAGCCATTCCGAATGATATGGAAACTCCAGATTGTGTTCGTCCGCCAGTGGTCAGTGGAAAGAAACCACCAAACAGTGGTAGTTTTCGGTGGTTTTATCCACTTAACGTGTCACTAGTGGATCATTGGTTTGCGCCTGACCAACGGGCTAGTCGTGTGGAGTTTTCCGAGAATTTCACCGAAGAAATAGGGCCAGTTTCCCATAGAAAGTCATCCGTAGAGGATTTTTTATGTTGCAGTATTCCAACAAACAGATTGCGTTCAGACTAGTATGCAGTCATTGTCCAGATGAAAATAATACATTTCAAGACGGTACAGAACTTTACAGAGCAGGACGGTTTATGATGATTTCAGAAAACTGTAACGCATGTATTATTTATTTACTTTTATCAATACAAAAGTAATGCTGTTAGGCATAAGACTACTACCTCCATTATAATAAAGATAAGATCCCCAAAGACAAACAATAACAAAACATGAAGTAAACAGAATGTATCTTAAACAACTTTAAAACTCGTATAAACATCACTTACAAGATTGATAAGAGAAAAGCGAAAAAAAAACAAGAAAACAGTAACAAGAAGTATTTTATGTTTGTTTTGAATGAATCCAAATACATATATTATGCGGTAAAAGTAATCAATTAAAATACAGTAGAGCGTCGATTATCCGAATCAATTGGGACTGGGGTTGTTCGGAAGATCGATGTTTCGGATAACCGATTATACACGAAAAAACATTTTATCCCATCTTGACATTTTTCTCCGTTGCGTGTCGCTTCGCGTTGAATTTTCGTCGATGTTAAGCCTAACGAAGACTATTGTATCGTTAAAAATTATTTTTTTATTTTGTACGAACAAAATAAATGTAAAATAGTTTCTTTTTTAACTCTTTCCGCTCTGTGGGTACCTCTTTTAGCAAGCCCATAATGGGTTCGGCCAGGCCCACAATGGGGAGGCCGGGTGGTGAGAGACGGGGCCCGACATATCCGGACGGACACACGAAACACTTGTTTCAAAAAATTTGAAAGATTAAGTAAAAACTTTTACATATTTTTTTTTAATTAACGGAAAAATTCACAAACGATAATAGTATTTTCATTGTCACTCTCCATTCCAGCACATAAATTATTCCAATTTGAGGCACTTCTGGAAAACGATCCACTCTTCGGCAGATCCTGTCCCGGAAGCAGAAGTTATGTTTAAATGTCAATACTCTATTTTAGAAACTGGATAATTGCTATATAAGTACACAAAACTACAGTTATTAAGGAAAAAAGTATTAAGAAAATAGCAGCGCTAATCTACAGTAAAAATAGCGTACGAATAGACTAACACTTAACGTTGACTTATCGTGAGAACAAGTAAAATTACCGAAAAGAGAAATGAACTCAGTTTCAGTGAATACTCAGTGTGACCTCGACAGTGCAGACAGTCAGTGTAGAGTCTATAATGTTCTTGAAGTTCACTCTAGTTTGCCCACCAAATAAAATTAAAGTTCCGTTGTATATAAATTAACTTACCGGCGACCACTAGACTAAATCTCCATCCGTAATTCAGAATTAGAAATGCCGAAATAAAAGGTGAAACACCTCCAGAAATGTTAGCACTCGCAGACATTACACTCCACCAGGTACCAAACTGCGCGGGAGAGAACCACTGAAATACATCAAATATTTATCTTAATAATGGGATATACTTCGATTACGTATATAAATTCGTTTACCATTTATAAATTTACCTTCCTCAGAACTTTGGCACACGCGGGCCAACCACATCCTTGAGCAAATCCATTGAGAAACCATAATGAAGTAAAAGTTAGGACAGAATGGGAAGCAGAAAATGCTAAAGTAGCGAAACCACTAAATAGAAGTCCGACAGAAAACAGAACACGAGAACTCATTCTGTCGGAGAGAATTCCACCTAAAAATTTGCTAATGGCGTAAGCCATATTTTGGCTACTAATTATTAATCCTGAAAAACAAGATTTAATTTTAATTAGAATATTATTTATTAAAAAAAAAATTAAACTTTTAATACACCGATTGATGCGCCCCTAGCGAAGAATTGAAAGTAAACTTTTACACGTGATAATCACGCTAGTCCAAGGTTATAAAGTTGATTCGTTATATTCTTGTTAGTAGTAATTTATATTTGTACATAACGAAATAAAAATAACGAGTAATAATGACTAATCTTCAAGAATATATTCATTTTAAATAACTTTATTATTAGTAAGATTCTTAAATATCCATGTAATATTTAAAATAGTTTTAACTGCAATTAAAACAACTCACCAGCTTGACTTTTTTCAAGGCCCATTTCCATTAATTTTGGCAAAGCAAACGAGACTGATTTTCTATTATACGCGTAACAGCCGTAGCCAATAAACATGGTGGCAAAAATTGTAAATTGGTACGCTTCTAATTTAGTCACCATTGTCGCGTCGTTATTTCATATCGTTCACCAGTTAAATTGTCGATATCACTTTATTAAATGCATTTCTTATCAAGGACTTACCCGTTAAAATGATACGAAAGTAAATTCGCAAATCAACTTAAATGTTGTTTACTGACCTCTATACGAAGACGTTACGTAATGAACGGGATATACATTCAAATAAATATAAATTTAATATTAAGATAAGTAGTTTATTCGAGTGAATTTGAAAATTTTTAGACTACATAAAAATAAAAATTAAGTTCATTTATCTAAATGCAAATTTTGAAACATGTTTTGCTTTATATTTCAGACAACCAATAAAAATTGTGCTTTTTATAATACACGACCCCCCTATAACACTGTTGATTATTCCGTTTTATATGAATTCCGTGTTGTACGAGTCACTTAGATTTTACAAATACGTGAGCCGTTTACAGCCCGGCACACGTATTTGTAAAATCTAAGTGGCTCGTACAACATGAAATTCATATAAAACGGAATAATCAACAGTGTTATAGGGGTCGACTGTAATTATCTGCTCAGTTATGACTTTAATACTTATACAAAACACTTATTCAGAAGTTTCATGAGTTTTTCATCTAATATAATCACTAATAAAAACCTTAATAACATTTGAAATAGCAAGATATTTAAATTAATTAATATAAAATTAGATGAACGAATCAAATTTGTTGTTATATTAAAATTACTTTTCCTTAAATTAATCGTATCAATTAATCTGAATAAACGTATCAAATAACCCAAGCCTAGAAAATAATCATAACAACTCCAATGATAACTAATAGTAAAGAATTTATATATTAAATATTTAGAAAAAAAAGTTTTGTATTTATGAATTAGATGTTTTTTTTTATTAAATTAAATTAATCTTTAACATAACTCATTAATATCCTTTAAGATAAATATATTAGTTATTAAATATTATCTATATCTAGTTTTTAAGTTCTTATCTATATTAAATTATATTATTTATTCTTATAAGAATTGGCTTTTTCTATGAAAAATGTTAAGGTTTGTCAAGATTATTCGAAAATTGACATAAAAGAAGCTGCGATTTTATTGTATTGTTTAGAGCTTAAAGCGCAACAGTTTAAATATATAAATTGTCAAAGCGACTTTCATTTATATATATAAATGAGAATCACTTTGATAACAGCTTAGAGATAAGTCAGTTGTTTCCAAAGTCTTCTTAAAAAACTTCCCAAAAACTATTCTATATTAATTCAATTATTTAATTAATTTATTATTTGCTCTTCTATACAGTTATGAATTACAAGATTTACTGACAAAATGAATTTTACCATCAAAATTTAATAAATAATGTAAACAAACATTGAAATATTCTTCATTTAATTTATATAATATTTTGTAAGTTGTGAATAGTTCAGAAAGAAAAAAAATTGGATTAATTAATTCTTATAAATATTGCCAAAACCTGTTGTATAATTCTACATATCTTGTAGAAATATATTATAAGATCTTCTTAAATAATTTCTTTCTTTCAATAAAATAATTCAATAATCTGATTTTTAAACATATTTAAACACGAGCATTACTCAAAATGCTGCAAAGATATATCTTTCAAATTAGTGTAATAAAAAAGCTTAAGATCCATTGTTTGAATTGAATAAAATATGCAAATTTGTGATTGAATTATGTAATAAATCAATTGTATTTTAGACATACAGTTCAATCCGTGTTCAGGCTAATTAATCATTTATTATGAACAATCATAACAAATGATTAATTAGTATAAACATAGATTGCACTACGTATCTTAAAAGTATAGATACTTGCGTATTCTTATCGCTAATATACTGTATATATTTGATACGCGGTATAACTGATAATTTTGCTATGTAAATATGTATTATTTTGTGTTATATTAACAAAAATTATAGCCGTGGCCTATTTATTTATAGCCGAAATCGACGGTGTAATTTTTATACTGCCACTGTGTTGATTTCGTACAGCAGTGCTACTGGGCGCAACTTCAGTTCCCCGATGTTCACTCATCTTCGTAAGATATGAATCCAAAGTTGTTTGTCGTTCCGTTCTCTTCTTCTCTTTGGGAATTTTATAATAAGGCTTCATTTAAATTCTATTCTTAGCCTGTATTTATGCAGACGCGAGAAATGCGAGAGAAGGAAACCAAACGAACCAAGGTCACACGCATACAGGAGTAATCTTGTTTTTCATGTAGTTGCATTCAAGCAAAAGCAGGAAAGTTCGATGAATTTTTCAACGAAATAAAGTTAAAGAAAAATAAACGGAACTACTTTATTAACAATTCCTTCCTGTATTTTTTGCAGCTTCTCGCAGGCCATTTTCCTCACAGTCCGACAGATTGTCGACTGGCTCCATCGTCGCCATTTTATCATTGTCGTTGGCCGGAACTCAAGCTGCCGAACTACTGCACGTGCACGAATTCAGAAGAGGAAAATACGAAAGTTCAACACTTTCGAGGACGAGAGAAACTCAGTTTCCGTCTTCTGCATAAAATGAATTGCAAATGTAAATTCTGATTTTCCCTCTTCTCGTTCACTAGTTTCCTTTTATTTTACATGGCTATTCTTTTTCTATTTCTATTTTTGCACAATAACTTCGCCAGAAATACCGTATGAACAATAAACATTTGTAAGTAATAAACAAACCACCACTGCTCGTAATCACTATTAGAGCAAAGTTGCTACTAGCGTTACCAGTACTACCACAAACTATGGGTCGGCTGCGTTAAAATTTTAATGGATCGCGAAGTAATACTACCTTCCATAGAAATACTTGTATTACTAAAGTATTCTCTAAGAACTAGTAACATTAGATACATCTGTTAAGTACTGAAAAATTTTCGACAACTTTACAATCATCAGTTTTACATTTTTTTAAACCCAGGGATGTCCAACCCGCGGCCCGTTTTATATTTTTATGCGGCCCACTGCACCCTCAATTTTATAGATACATTTTCATTTATTTTGGTAAAGTATGTCTAATTTATTCTTTGTAAAAATAAAGAATAAATAGACTCTACCACTTCGGCATTTTTACTAGTTATAGGTATATAATACAGACATGGGTCTATATATTTCTTTTGCTAACGTAATAATTTAAATATTTTCAACCTCCAATTATATTCATAATTATTTCGTCAACTTTATATTTTTAATAACCCAGCATTTGATCATAGCATCTAATTCTAAGAAAAGAAAAATAACAGAATAAAAGAGAAAATTCATTATCTTTTGGCCACAAAAATATTTCGTAATTGAAACATGTAATAATATTATTTGCCTTATTTGTCGTGATAAAATTGCCGTGTAAAATTGTGCATTTTCAGTGTTTATTAAATAGAAAAGAAGAAATTCTTGTGAACTTTAAAAAATTTAGTAAATTGTGGGAAGTTTTGTTAAAGGATTTAACAACGAGATTTTCTGACTTCAGAAAATAAAAACTGAATTAAAATTGTTTAGTGATCCATTTTCATTTAATTATGTAGAAGCAGCAGCCGAATACCAGCTAGAACTCATTGATTTTCAAAAGGGTATATTTATATTAATTACCCTTGTGGCTCGTTGAATATATTGAAATTTCTAATTTGGTCCATTAAGAAAAAAGATTGGACAACCCTGCACTAACCAGTAATGACCATCCACTAGCTCGAATGAACCGATATTTGTGTACAGTACATAGTATCTTGAAATAAACCAATAAATTACAGCATAGCATAACGGAACACATTGTAATAAATTAGTATTCGTATACAGCAGTTTTATTATGCTGATGCTCCACTTCTGCAAATCGAACGAGAAATAAAACTTTGAAAGAAGAAAGATATGAATTATAAAATTTTATTTCGTGTTCCCAGAAGTTTTATTTTTCTTGAAACCTACAAGTTTTTATGTAGTTTTTGTCGTTGAAAAGCACAGGAATTTACAGAAATCGTGCACCACATCGTGATATACATCATTATAATACAGTAATATATGTTTCATGCTTTCTTTTCACGAATAAAATTTTTATGAGATAAAGGTATTATTTCCATGCCCAACTCAAACCTAGAGGACCAGGAATTTTTTGCTTTGTTCTCCACTCCACCTGTCTCTTCTCCACCAACCTGTTCACACGAATAATCTTGCCGACAGCGATGCTAGCGCTGACATAGCTAACTGGGGCCTAAGGAACACACATGCCTATTTACTACGGAAAGGACGGGCAGGAGCTACGGAATGAGAAAGAATTAGTGAAGAGAGTTTACTTGGAAAAAGTGGAAGGAGAACGGAATGGGACGAAAAACTAAAATCTGGTTAGAGCAAATGGGTGAGCATTTTGAAGGAACGAAAGATTATGAGCACAAGAGATGGGAAACGTGTGCTAGGAGAGATGACAACAGCAGAAGCGAAAGAGAAGACAGGAGTGTCTGAAGGAATCTGATATATGGATGAGTGTATGTGTGTGATCCTTTCCAGAATCGTCTCAAGCGGACGACGGGTGTGCGCCATACGTGGACGCAATTATCAAGGGGACGTCAAAAGACATTCTTAATTAAATGCCCTATTTGAATCCCGAAATGACAGAAAAATGGAACAAAACATTATGATGAAAAAGTAAAATTACGAGCTTCAACGGTCTAAACGTTAACGCTTGCATTATATATTTGTATGGATTTATAGTATTGCACAATCAAACGGGCCTGAAGTGGTCCCAATGGTGAGTTTCTCGTCCTGTGAAGACTAGTATATATAACAACGTTCATACCATCCAAACTCAATGTTAAACATTAAACATTGCCGTCAAACATTCCTTTGTGTTCAATTTTAAGGTAATGTTAAGGTAATAATACACGTTTTAATTTGTGGATTATCTAGAAATAAACTTTAGATGGAAGTTTTAGGGATGTTTCAGCATATTCAATTTCTTAGTTATTATTACTGGTTCTTGGTATTATATATTTTTAAGTTTGTGCATTAAATTTAAGATGAAGTGTGTTTTACTAACATTGCAAAGGCTCATGGACAGTATCTTTTGATAAAACACTTTTCTGTAGATTCAATAATTTCAATAGTATAGAGATAAACATTTATTCTATATCAACTATGTTTAATACAATCTAAAAGATTTATATTGTAATGTTTGTAAATCACA